TATAATATTAATACAATGTACCTTGCAAAATTTATGGAATGTTAATGGAATGAGTTTGGACGAACATTTTCATGTTATTGGGAGGTTGATTGTATGTTTATTAATCTCCGGGTAATGTTATCATCTTACAATTTTAAGTTATGATAACCTTATTGGGATGTTTATATGCTGTGAGGATAATAACAGTTATAATAACTAAACTAATTCTTTTTAAAAAATACAAAAATGATTTAAGATTGAGGTTAATATAAAAAATATGTATAATATATGTATCAAAAGTATGTATAATATCAAAAGTAAAATGATTGCATATCATATGTAAGATATTGTATCATACATAGTTTAATACGTATCTTACGTATGATACGCAATACGTAGGATACGTAGAAAACCTCTAGAGTGCGTCAAATCCTGCTCGGGAGTGTGATTTCTTTCTCGTTCCATTTATGACTCATTTTAGTGGGAATGGTGGGATGAGCACGCTGGATGGGCGTTGGCGCTAGATTCCGTGTACATTTTCCGAGCGGCCAAAGAGTAATTAAGATCAAGCCGATCACCAGCTTCGACCGTTTTTGATTGTATAAGAGAATCATAGATCCATATTTGGCGATATTTCCAACGCTATACTCAATACGCCTTCTGGCACACGAGAAGTAGAGGAGGAAACCTGCATTACACTCAAGGTGCTGTCGTTCAATCTTTGCGCCAGACTCTATACTGTATGGAACGGAATTTTTATTTATATACTGAGCCGTGCAATTTAAAAGAAGCCAAAAGGAAGGAAGGAAGCCATTTTGGACACTATCGGACCTCGTGGCCAGCGTAATTATGGCCTAGGATGAGAACTGGACCACCGCAAGATCGCTCTCGTATTTCTGGCTGGACGGTGTCTTGCTACGTGGAAGAGATAACGATATGATACCCAGAGTACAATAGTCCTACGACGTACAAGTTGGGTGAGTCGACTTCTCCTATAAGCTCAATTTTTTTATTCTGGTCTATTAAGATAATTAGTTGGATTATTTAGATTTTTCTATTTAGATTACTATTTTCATATCCTGTAATTTTAGGCGATTTAGATTTATATGTGGAACGAGTCAACTAGCATATAATTTCATTTAAAAATATTAATTTTTAGATAAAAACATCTACGCAATGATACCACAAATTACAATTTTTTAAAATCAAAAAAATTAAAAAATAGTATTTCATGAAAATCCACAATTTTTTAGAAAATCGTACAAAAATTTACAAATTTTTTAAATGAAAAAACAACAAGATTTTATGTAATTAAAACAGACCCGGCTTGACATACATATATGGTTTGACATATTGGTATATGATTATGATAGAATACATATATTTTATTTATATTTATATTAGTTAAACACTTGACACCAAGCCATTACCGTGTCTCCTGATATATACCGCCGGAGATACTTAATAAATATATATGTAATGTATTAAACAAAAATTTACATTCACTGAAGTTATTTAAATTATATTAATTAATGTTAACAACTATTTCATGATAAAATCTTATTAAATTTTTCGTTCATAACTAAAAAATATAAAATAATTATTGTTTGGATGATTTTTTATAAAAATGTAAAAAAAATTTTTGCATACATTTGGTATTAGACGTTAATCGCTTTTAATCCAATACAGTTTTATATTATGTTGTACTTATTTGTATTTTATTTTGATTATCGATCATGTTATTTTATGTTAACATTTATAAAAAAATAGGTCTTTTTCATAACTTTATTGATCTGATCTATCGCCGATATATATTCATTAACATCAAGTAATCATGGATCATCACCAAATGTCTGCAATTCTCAATCACAGAAGTTAAGCAGTGTTGACGGCAGTCGTGGCTTGGATGAGTGACCGTCGTTTAGAACATAATTGTAGATTGGCGTAGTTTTACAAAGGGCATAGCGGGTTAAGGAGGTGATTTCGGGCCCCGCGCGTAATCGATTGTCATAGTGGGCAAAATGTCCACCCAGATAAAAAAAAATTTTGTGTCAAGTTTCATTTCAAAAGACCCACACAATTTCGAAATATCATAAGAGATGTGATTTTCTTTGATATTTTTTTTCTCCGCCAAATTAGAATTAATCTTTACAAAAAAATTCATGATTACAAAGATTATCCATATACATAAGTTTAAATTTTGTTGTCGTTCTGTGCTGAAAATTCTGTTTTTTAAAAAATCCAGAATATTTTAAATCGCATTTTCTCTAGATCTAAAAAATTGGCCACTTTTTAAAAATTCAGTTGATAAGTCTTATGCCATATTATATTCGATATTTTTTCAGATTTTTTATTTGGTGGAACGTGGCGAAAAAAAATAAAAATCGGTTTTTTTCTTATTTTTTGGTCTTAAATGTATTTGGTTGACATATATTAAATAGTTTCTAAATATAATTACTTATCTCCGACTCTATATCTGCAAACAATAGTATAAAACTTTAATGTTATAGAGTTCGCGTAGTTTAAACTGAGAGGTTTTAATTTTTTTTAGTCGGAAAATCAATTTAACTGCTTTTAGCAGTTATTCCACTTTTTTTAAACAAAAATCAATTTCTAACTATCATGCATATAACAAACATGATAAACAATAATTAGGATATAGACCGCGTAA